GCTGGTAATGACACTCCAACAACAAAGTTTTTAGTTCTCATGTTAAAGATGAAGGAAGAAAACTAAATGTGAAGTTACTGGAAGCACTAGGAAAAGTTGGTGAGTTCAGTCAGTAAATATATAAATGATTTAGGGCTGAGAGTTTGTTGGCAATGAAGAATAATCTAATAATGTTTTGTTTTCCATTGTGCATACCAAGAATACTCACTCAGCCATCTCACTTAGGAAAGGTGGAAATAGACTCTTCTCATTAACAGATGTTTTCTTATAATTCACAGTGTCCTTCTTATCTGATAGTCTCTGGACTCCTAGATGTGTTCTGTCACTTTTTTTGTGCCTCCTGCTTCCTGGTCTCCTACTTTCATGGTCTTGAAATGAGCTGGTAGTTTTTAATTGCTAAATGTGCTGCTAGAAATGGAAATGTAGTCAGTTTTGCAAGATGTCCAACTTGTCTCCTTCCCACCCATTCCAAGGAAATTTGTCCCTGTTTGTTCCACTGGGTTTCATTCTCTTTTTGCAAACAAGGAGATGAGGACCACAACTGACTTTTTCCACCAGTGTTTTTCCACCTGTGTCAGTTAAATTCTTCCTGACATCAGGGCAGTATTCATTTTGCAGCACAAGCATTTGTTCACTTTCCATACTCTGCATGGAAACCAGGGTGCCACATCTTCAGCCTTTCTTCTTCTGCGTGGTGTGATTCATGTGCTGTCCCGTACACTGAGCCTTCTGTGGGCAGGGACCCAGTCACCTCGGAAAGGTGACAGAAACAGCTGTTATGTGAGCATCCACCACAGCATCTGCTTTTCCCAGAAGAACAGCTGTCAGTAGGTGCATCTGCATTTTTGATAGAAACTTCAGTAGAATGAAGGCTGGGGTAACTTGTGATGGTATGAAAACTCTGGTAGTTTGGGCCCAACACTGCAAATTGTATCATTAAGATGGAAATAATTCTTAAAACAAAGGCTTTGAGAAATGATGACTGATCCCAAATGCCTTCTTGAGAAATCTTTGTAGAATTTCAGTTTCAGGAAGTGGAGCATCCTTGTCCCCAAAATATTGTCAGACCAAATGTTTTGTTTGGGGCACAGGTATACCCAGATACCTTCTAAGAATCACTAATCTTAAACCTCTTGCACAGGTTCAGGAATTTTAAATTCTCTGTGTTCGCATCAGATGAAATCTGCCTGTAACTATTTATCTACATAGTTGGGAAATTGAGAATAGAGGGAGATTTACATTGTAGAAGTTGACAAGTGTCTGTGCTATGTATCTAATAAATTGTATAGAGTTGCTTAAAAATCTAAACCTACTGCAGGAAACACATTATCAATTACATGATGAGCCTGACACTGACTGCCTACTTTTCATTTTGCCACAACGTCCCATGTCCCATGCCTCAATGTCTTGCTTCAGTATCTTTTTAGAAAGCAGTATGTAAGAAGTGCTCTACATCTCATCTGTGGGATGAGAACAAAAACATCACTCTAACCTATCTTTGGACTCTGCTATTTTTCAGAGGGTGGGATATATTTTGATTTTTCTCACTTTTCTTTGATATTCACATGACTAGAAATTTATGCTTGAGATAAACACTGTCCCTTAGCAGTTTCTGGAAGTGCTAGGATTGCTGCTATGCACATATTTTTGGCTTTGTGGTAATGAAAATGCTCAGAGGATCCATCATACAGCTTTTAAAAGTAGGGCAAATTGGTTTCAGCAGGAGCAGGCTTATTCTCAGAGCTTCACAGAGGCTGTTAATAAGTTGTTCTTATGGCAAGATACTCACCATCATAATTTTATTTATAAGGTAGATTGCCATGAGGTGTCCGGTCCGAGGCTGATGAGACCGGTCTTAAGACTTGATGATGATGGAACCTGCATAGCATCAGAGACCTTCACAGCTATTGGGTGGTGAAGGTTTCCCAATACCATCGCAGTGCTCACACTGGAAAACAACTATAGTTCTAATGAGTCCTACTGCCAGGAGTTCTCCTGTGCCCAGGGGACAGTTGAGGCTTGGCTTTGTGGGTATATACAGCACAAAGCCTCACATGTGCTGGGCTCAGCCACATCATGCTCCTTGCAAGAGCAAGGTCCTCATTTGCAGGTGAGCTTGGATGTGTCCTATGTTGGTGCTGTGACAGCAAGCAGAGCATAGTCATCAATATGTGGTGGCAGCTGAAGTGAAAGATTACAGTGCAAGGCATGATGTCTTGCCTCGGCTCTCTTGCTAACAAGCCAGCAAGAAAAATAAAGCTCCTGTGATTTATTCTTGCAGGATAATCTCTGCAGTAATGTGAAATATGATAGTTCAAATGGGTAAGAACAATGACAGCTGTTATTGTTTTTGACAGGCAATGGGTTTGGAGCTTGGTGACAAATTGCACGCTGTCTGGGTTTTGTTCAACCCACTTATCTTCAGGATGTCATTTTATTTTTTATTTTTTATTTTTGGAGGGGGTGGTGTCTTTTTTTTTTTTTTTTTTTTTTTTTTTTTTTTGTTAAAGAAAAACATCTTTTAAGTCCTTTGGTTTGAGGTTGGAGACATAGAGTTTCTTTTTGGTAAAGAATTCTGCTTTTTTGTGATTTTGGAAAAAGGCTTTACACAGATTCCTTTAAAAAAAAAAAAGGCTTGAAGGTTTATCCTGCTTTGATAAGGTAAAATAATGTTCTCTCTTTTATCTTTAATTATATTTTAATTGGACCTGCAACAAAGATACTTATTTGTATAAGGAATTTGAGTTTTGACACATTTCAAGCTAAAGCATCGTTATCACTAAAGCACATAAATATGTCTGAATTTCAGACTTGCATTTAGTGAAGGTTAAACCTTATTTTATGTCAGATAAACCAGGCCAGACCCTGAAATACTAAAGACATAGAATAACACCCCAATCCCATGATGTGTCTGTGAAAAACTGGTGGAAAAGATGGAAGAGAATGAGGCTGAATTGCTCCTTTTTCTTACCATGGTCACACTGCTACATGGCAACCCAGCACAACTGGACTTTATTGGACTTAGTTTTGCTCCCTTTTAAACCAGTGATATCGCTTCTCAGCTACTGATTTCCATTGGAGCTAAAGCCAAGTTTCAAGTCCTTACAATTTCCTCTGCTTCTAATTTCACTGGCGTCGAGTTCTGACCAGTTAATCAAATGTCTTTTGTGTTGCAGGTGCCTTAATGTTTATTTTGATTAGTGTACTAGTTGCTATTTTTAGCTCTTTGGTCCTTGGGATGAATGAATACCAGCACAGACTTTAAACCATGATAAACATGTGTTTTTAACCTTGCCATTTATTTTTATGTCTCTGTATCCAAATAATCAGGATGTGGTTACCTGTGAAGGTAGTAGACTACTACTTAGAATTTCAATGCACACCCACGTACAAAAATATACATTGTAGAGGGCCAGAGCTTTAAAAACACCAAGCCAAACCCTTGTCTGGCTTTAATGGCTTTTCATATCAAACTAAAGGATGGTGTTACCACCTGGTTTGCTGCTTTGGCTTTGTCCTTTGATTCCAGTAAGCTTAGTCTGCTCACTGGAGAGCTTTGCTCTGTACAGATTAACCAGCTGCTTTCTTCCTGGCTGCAACAACCCCTCATGAACAGTATAAAGAAGACACGTGTAATGGGCTAATCAGGTAACAGAAGCACACACAAAACTTACTAGAAAGAAAAACAAGCAAGAAACAGAGCTTTGAGAAAAAGCATAAATGTTATATCTTGTTAAAACTGGATTCCAAGGACTTTTGTAGCTTCTCTCTTTTGTAGCGTGGGAAAAAAAGTAGAAAGCCAAATACTTTTTACCATGTGTTCTCTGAATGAGCTTATGAGAGATTTGCTAAGCAAATGATAAAACAAACGCTGTATATCATAGAAATGCATTCATACATCCTTTCTTTTCTTGCTTTTGCCAAGAGAAGGGTCAGTAAAGAGCAGTAGAAGTAGACTTGAATTCTTCTCTGGGGCTGAACCTGGTAACAAACTACTCAGCAAATTAGCAGGTACCTTTGGCTCTAGAGGCCTTAGTCTAGCTCTTATTAACATCAGCTGAAAGATTCCCACCTGGTCACATTGGAGGCATGTCAAGTTTTAAATGCTAGATCCAGTCAAGGACTGAAACAACGTTAGCCTAAATCCACAGCTGAAGAAATGCCCACATCTTCCTGATTCTGCCAAAATTTGAACCTTTTCACCTTACTTTGCTGCGCTGCAGGCATCAAAATGCTGCTGGGGAGATCTGTGATTTCTGTAACAGCTTTAGGAAGCTGTCCTGACTTTGGAGTGGCTCGTGGCCACCTCTGCTTACCAATTCACCTGGTTCTAACACAAGTTTGCATTCATTACTCCCTCCACTGTAAGGATGGCACAATTGTGCAGAAAGGAATTAAAAGCTTTTCAGGGTCCTGACAAAGCAGAAATCTGATTTTGTACCCACCAATGAAGGATGCTCAGTGCTATCTGGTAACTGATTTTTATGCAGTGGCCTTGTAAGGTAAAATATATAACAACTATGGGAAAGACTTTTCCTTTCACTTCTTAAGTGTCTTTTGAGCAAGGCGTTCTCTTCTTGTCTTTTCACTGCCAATCCGTATAAATTTTCATGACTGTTTGCTACCTGCTCTCTCTGTCTCTGGGAGCATGGCTATGGAGCCGTTGTTTGGGAACTGCTGAATCATGGCCTGAACCTCTGATTGATCACCTGAGGTGAGCCACAGGAGCACAGGTGAAGGCAATTCACCTGTGCTGCTGGAAGGGGTGGAGCCTGGCTCCACCTCCCCCAGACCCATTTAAGAGCTGACCACCAGTGGGGGAGGTTCTCTTCTGGAGATCTCTCCTTTGGAGTTTTACATCAAGCCGAGGATATGGGTGAGCATTCTATCTATTCTCTTTTGGTATAATAACCTGCTTAGCCAAACTCTCTTGTATTTTTCATAATTATAACATCTGTATATTCATTGATTATACAGCCATGAACTGTTCTCTGTTGCAGATGCTGCAGTTCCAGCTTGTTGTAGTCCATCTGGCCCTTGTCATCACCCTGCTGCAGTGGCATTCTAGCTTGGTGCTCCTTACAGAGGCAGCTCCAGAGGTAGGTCATTGTTTCTGCTCACTGTCACGTAATGCTACTCTTTGTAGGCTGCTCCTGGCTGCTGTGTGTGCAAGACACTGTGATATCCAAGTGGTACTGAAAGGGGAATGGTGTGTATTGATTCTACAAGGGACAAAGCAGGAGCAGGACGACTTCCCCAGCAAAAAAAGCAATGTAAACTGCGTGGCTCTCAGAGGACAGACCAAATGAAGCCACACCCTGATTCATGCAGATTCTCCTAAAACACTGTAGGATTGCCATGTGTTGAAACATTTTCCAATGACTTCAGAGAGAGAACTCCTAGCAGGGAGAAATGGGATGGTGGGAGGGGGTAATAACCTAACGCTGAAAGGAAAGTTTCCCTCGCTCTTAAAAGACAAATAATAATGTGAATTGGAGCCTCAAGGAGAGCTTTGATAGAACACTCACTGCATAGAACTTAAATGAAGCACAAGAGCCAGGAGAGGGAAGGGGCAGAGAAACTTGCCTAATTTGGCAAAGGAAAACACAGTGGACACAAAGGGAGAGCTCCTAGCTAGAGTTTCTAGCTTCATCCAGTAGGATAAGCAGGGATTGCATATGAAAACGCTTCTAGTCCACTCTCTTTTAAGTCATCTTGACCTAAAATGGGTGTGGCAGCAAAGATGTTTGTGTAATGGTTGCATGTCATAAAAATCCAAGGTCTAAAAGTTTAACTGGAATAGCACTGTTTGGCTGTATGGTGTTTTATAGATCAGTTTAGGAGTTAGATGCATACTGACAAATAACTCTCTTCCTTGCTCTCTGTCTTCAAGTGAGCATGCTTTGATTATACAAAATAATACTGGTTATAGAAAATAGGGCTTGGAGGAATCTATTCCCTGTACCCGCTGCTATTCTTATGCCACAGAGACCTGATATCTCGTCTCTGTCAATGACAAATGTTTGTGAAATGGATGTAAGAGCAGAACATCTTCAGAGACTTCCTGATCCAGTTTCTGCACTGAATCAGATTCTTGTAGCTGCTGGTGGAGCTGCAACTTTACTTTTTACGATTTCATAATACCCTTTCAAAGATTAAATGAGTAGAACCACGCTTAGTACTCAAGAGCAGAGGATATATTTTTGCCATCCAGTTTCAAGCATTACTGCAGATATTTATTGCCACTAACTGTTAGGGTGAGGTAGTTCGTGGTGGTGGTGGTGTTTTTAAGGTACAATTCTGTTTCAGACCTTTATGAAAGTTTTATAACCCTGAAAAGGAGCAGAAATGTCCATTTAACAGCACTTGCAACTGAAAGAAGGAACAATCAGAGGGCAATGTGAGAACCTTTGTGAAAGTATTGTTGCATCATGACTGTTGTGGTCATCTTGCTCCTCCTTGTATAAAGGTCAGAGTTTTATACACTCCATCTCTGGTTATTCCACTCATCAACAGTAGGAAGTGCCACCACCACAACTATGGCGTGGGCCACTACTGCTATCCACAAGCATATTACATCACATTACTCCTTTGATTAGAATGTGCCTGAAATAATTTTTCCTCAGCAATAAACTAACATTGCTGTTTTCTTCCTTTGGAGCCTTCTGCTGATCTGGACGTGGCAACGCATCCTACTGCCAGTGAGGAGAAGTCAGCCTCCAGCCTGGAAGCCAAAATGCTCCTTCTTGATGAGCTGGTGTCTCTGGAGAATGAGGTGACTGAGACAAAGAAGAAAAGAAGTTTTCCAGGATTTGGTTCCCCAATCGACAGAATTTCTGTGACATCTGTGGATGCTAAAGGCAAACAGAGGTAAAGGACTGGGCCCTACTAGTGATAAAGGTGGGAGAAAGCTGTTGGTATGTTGTCCTGGATGCAAATGACATAGCTTTAGCCACTGACAATTTTACTGCAGTTGTGAGGTACGTTTCATCAGGGTATCAGAAACTCTTCAGAGATCATTCTGGCTGCATGATATATAGTTCTTCAGCTGTGATGGATAATATACACAGTAGTTCATTTATCTTTAAAGTGTCATCTGATAACAAAGAACATTCAAGGACATGCATATTTGCTCACAACAACAGAAAGAAATGTACTAAAAAATTCAATTTAAAGCTACTTTTTTGGACCTGAAATTAAAACTGATGTATGCCTGAAGCTCAAAAGCAAATGAGGCAGAGGTGAAGAGAAGTTTTGCTGGTGTGCATCTGGAATGTTAAGATGAAGAACATGGTCAGTCAGGATACAGAATGGTCCTCCAAGGAGAGAAGTTTCAAGATCTTGGTCAACTTATGACAAGCCAGGCTTTAATCAGTGCAGCAATACACCATTACCTCCACAGTGCAAGTTAGGAGATGAGTGTGTTTTTAACTGAGGGCTGAAGAACGGTTGGTACAGGTGGTGAAAGTCAGCATGTCTGGGGCAAAGCAGAGCTGAATTGTCTTGCTCCCTCCTTCTGCTAACTGACTTCTGCTGGATGGAATCCACAGTGCTGTAACATATTTAATAACATGCTTAAAGATTAATCTGGAAATGGGAAGTACTCCCAAGAGCCAGTCAATATAACATTTTTTTTTGTCGTGCTTTTCTTCTCTTGTTTCTTGAGTACTTCTTGTCATTTTTCTACTTATTCGTCTAGTCCGATAGTAGAATTTTTTGAATATAACTAAAAATGGTAAAGTATAAAAGTTTTGAGGTCCTTAAGAAGAACTATTTATCTGTGTATCACTTTGAGAGAACAAAATCAGTTTTGTTTACTCTTTGGCACGTGGCTGGCAAGAGACTCTGGAATTTTTAATTTTTTATATATATATTATTGTTAAGAAAGGGCGCTTTGAATGGAAAACATCACTTTGACCTTAGTAAGTGCTGAAATTGGTACAGTCTCGTTTGGAAGGCAGAAAGGGAGCAGCAGACGAGACTAAATGGATTGTCCTGCTATGGCTACAGATGGCCACCAGAGGGGAAGCTCAGCCACGGAACCTCTCTCAGGCTGCTCAACCTTTCTCATCGATGTGATTTTACAATTTTACTGTTTAACTACAGACCACGGCGATACTGGAACCAGTGCATATGCAGAATGCATCTCTTGTAAACCAGCCTGTGTAGTTAAAGGGGGGCTATAAGAGGGAGGGAGACAGACTCTTTAGCAGGGTCTGTTGTGATAGAACAAGGTTTTCCTACTAAGAGGGGAGATTCAGATTGGGTGTGAGGAAAAAGGGGTTTGTTTTACACCGAGGGTGGTGAGGCACTGCACAGGTTGCCCAGAGAGGTGATGGTACCCCATCCCTGGAGACACCCAAGGTCAGGTTGGATGGGGTTCTGAGCACCTGATGGAGCCGTGGATGTCCCTGTTCAGTGGAGTTGGACCAGATGTCTTTTAAGGGGTCCCTCCTGACTCAAATGGTTCTATGCCTCTTTTTATCAGATCAGGCTCAGTATGACTTCAGCAGCCCCGGTCCCACTTGCATCAGCTTATGCCTGCACTGTGTTGGAAAGAATACAGCCTGTGGGGTGATGAACTGTATAAAAGCGTTTGATACATAGGATTTTGGGGAAAGGGTTCTGCGGGATTAAAACAGGGGTAGTGCTTCAGTGGGTGCTACTCTTATCCATTAATTTTTAAGAGAAGTGAAGCATTTTATTTTTAAGCTCTCACATCTTCAGCTGCTGCTGCACATCTATTCTGTCTGAATGGTAAAACTGTGAGTGGGATGAATGGAGGAATCAAAGATGTAGTAATGCTTTTGGATATTCCTATGATGTCTTTCCATAATTCTTTCCCTCCTTCTTTCCCATTTTCCCCTTGCAGGAAAGTAGTTGAGCTGCCTAAGAGACGCTTTGGAGTTCCTCTTGATCGGATTGGAGTGAGTCGTCTTGGCAACACCAAGGGTTAGCAGTTCCTGCAAGTAAGCCAAAGTGTCCCAGTGTGGGCAGGCTGGAGAGCCCCTCCTGCTCTCAGTCACATGGAGGTGCTCAGGTCATGCCAGTAGGTTTGGAAAGGGGAGCCTTGGGGAAGGAAGGCTGCTTCTATAACATGGATTGTGACACAACTTAGTTTGAATCCTCTAAATCAGTGCTACTCCCTTTCAAGAAGTATTTATTAGCTTTTTCTTCACCTTATGTTGTCTTTGTCTAATCCTTGCAGTTCTGAGTTGGGAAGACGTAATATTTACTGCTTTTCTGCCTATAGGTTCTTCTGTTCTGAATGATTGATGCCATACAGGAAACATCACAGCATTGTGGAAGATGCATCAGAGCACATCTTGTCATTGACTAATGATTCAACACTCAAGGAACTGACCTCCTGCAAAATCTTCTTTAAATTGTGTTTTACAAACATTGCATTTACAAATAGTAGCTAATTCAGTTCATCAGATCAGAATGCTCTCACAGTTGAACACAGTGCCACTGATAGGAGGAGAAAGGAAAAAAAAATGCATGGTTTAATTGCATGGCACTTATCTCTTAAACCTGCAGAAGTCCATTCTCCTAGCAAGGACTGTTAAAATTTTTGGATTTAAAATAAAACTCTCTGAGAAGCCAACAGCAGTCCATGAAATGCAGGCAGTTTGCTTTGCACGTATCTTTCAAGAGAGTGTTTTTCTATTAGATGAAGGGAGGATTTAACAGTTATGGGACAAATCCATATTTTATTTGAACTGCTATTGGGGAGAAGAAATTGATATCATTAGAAGTTGATCTGAATAAGAAGTAAGGAAAAAATCTTAGGATTTGCTCTGATGTTTTTAACAGTCTTCCTTGTATCTCTGCACCAAATTTAGAAATGTTTTCATTGTACAGCATATCCTGACATGTGGCGAGACTGTCAGCTTCCTCCTGTAAGCTAACAAATGCATTTCAGTCCTCCCTATGCATAACATAGGATAGCGTCCAAATATGAAGTCATCTACTTCCTAGGCCATCTGCATTGTATGCCTTATTTTAGTCTCTTGATGTGTGCATAGGGCATAATCACATACGCAACTGTAAAAGTTCAAGCATTTCTTAGCCTGATAACATGTAAATGTGTGCCTGTTCTCTCTATTTCAATTCAGAGTAAAACAGGTTATCTTGAATCCTGCTTCATTGCTTTTCACTTCTTTCCAGATTACGAAATACAGCTGAAAAGAGCTGTTGGCTGACATCTCGGTGCTCAGATTCCAAACTGATCTCTTCTAAACCTCCTTGTTAGACTATGGTCTACATCATCTAAATGCCTTGGATTGCTATTCCTGGGTATAAATAATCCTTAGAATTGCAAAAGATGATCCACAGAGAAAGTTCACTTCTCTATTCCTAAATAATCCTGTATCTTACCACATACTTATCCTATGTTAGGCAGAGAGTTCCAATAAGGCAAGAGAGAGAAATGTGTTAATTTCCTGATCTAATGTGAGGCACCTGTCTATTAGCTAACTAAATGAGTCCTTGAGATTAAAGCTGTTCTAAGGATTGGAACTCAGGGGTAATTGCCCCTGCTCAGGCTATAGCGGGCAATGAGGTTCCCATTCAGAAGGGCAGGCAGAATCCAGTGCATATCCCTGAGTCACTGCTCACTTTACCTTTAAGCTTGCAGATAAAGGATTTGGGACTGAGTGCTGATCTGAGATGAGGTTTTCTGTCTATGCTAGAAGCAAATTCATAAATGGACTTCAAGACAAGCTCAGCTCCCTGTCCTCTGGAGTGTGCTACAGCCACCTATCCTGAGCCTGCCCTGTAGTTCAGTAAAGAGTTTTCTTATTGCACTGAGCTCACCCAGACAGTCTGCAGATAATCTGATTGCCAAGCAGCCGTATGTATGGGCTATGGGCAGATTATGGAAGTCAAGTACTCCTGACCTCTCTTATAGTTGTTTTTCAAAAGCAGCATGAACAGACTTATTGCAGGGCATATTTTGGAGGAATGGATCAGAGGGATCCAATGGTGACATATCTGATCTGCAAGGATACTGCTGGATAATTAAAGTATTTCAACAGTCAGCTGGTATTAGTGTGGGCTTCTAAATAAAGAGGGTTTTTTAAGCCTGTAGTTGGATGCAGAAATCTGAAGGAAAACATGAAAGCAAGTCAGGACAGAGATCTCTGTGGTGGTGCTGCCTGAAACTGGACCTGGAAGCTTCAGTCTCTGCATGGATAACTTTGGAGAAAGCAACAGCCTTTCTGTTCATCTGCTCCTCCAAACACACTGCAGTCTCCTTTAATATCCATGAACTGACAGGTGCTGTTTGAAGTATGGTGATGTCTGAAGGGTTGGGTGCTATGATTTGTTTTCAGATGCAATACTGGATAGATTCAGCTATCATGTGTAGTATGGAGGTCAACAAGAGGATATACTGCAGCCCTGTGTTGCGTGCTTGCAGATCTATTCTGATGCCTGTGAGGATTTTCTGTAACAATTCAGTATGATCTAGTAGAATGCCAGAGGAAAATGCCTTTAATTATTGCCCATGGGTCATTAACTTCAGTAAGTTTGACTGCCCGAGCATGGGTGAGGTGCAAACAGCCATAATGTGAAAGTGGCATCTGAGGAAAAGTTCTGTTCTGCATTTAGGAGGAAAGACAGGAGCCCTTGCTAATGGTGAGTCTAGCGAAGATATCCCTACATACTCTCTGAACTTGCAAATGAATTGCTTTCAGCATTGATGTTCAGCACTCCAGCAGAAGCAGCCAACATAGCAGCATGTAGGCAACATTAGAGTAGTCTGGGTACTGAGAGCACTGAATGCTTAAAGGAAAGGCATAGCCTTCTCTTAGCAATACGCCATACTTTTTCCTGGGTTGGTTGCTGTTGTGAGGGTATGTGAACCCTTAGCTTTTTCAGGTTCACAAATGCAACAGAAAAAGGGAAATTTCTTCTGAATTGCTGCTCAGGAAATAGCAGAGGTAACGTTAACAGCAAGTTTTGCTTTGCAGGTGATTAGACTTTACCTATGTAATCAAGTTTTTTCTTTCTTTTTTTTTTTTTTTTGCCATATATGCCAGCTTTAGCCATTAATAGAATGAATAGATCTCTTGTTGACGAAGTACATAGAAGGTACTGCTGTAAGTGTGTGTGTCTTGCCAGAGCCCTAGGCAATGAGTGTAACATGGTAATTGGTACTTTGGGAAAGGTAAAGTTCTGAAGAATACATAGCATGCAAGCTGCAGTTAAATGACATGGCTACACAGGACTGGAGAGTCAGTTCAATTCTAGTGAAAATCAGTCCATGCTTTCACAATGCCTATTGAATTCTGCTGTCATCTACACTGCTGGAAATCTCAAAGCTAACATCAATAGCTTCAAGATTTATTCTGAACTTACACCTGTGGGAACACGATCCTTTTGCTTTGCAAGTGAACATAGATAATGTGATTTAAAATGGTTGTATGTAGGACCTATTGATGGACTGTGATCACTTCCTTTTGGACAGGTGCAGAGAACTGACAGTTTGACAGTTGGACTAGATGATCTTAATGGTCTGTTTCAAACCTTATAATTCTGTCAATTCTGCAGTAGAAAAAAACAGCTAGCATTTCTTTGGGGCAAAGTAGGTAGAAGTGAGCAGGGATGGTCCAATCCCATGAGTACAGCAGTCCACAGGTGCCCATGTTCTGGCTAAAGAAAGGGCATGTTCCTGAGGCATATTAGAACAAACCTGCCTTGCTCTATCAAGGTGTTTAATAGGAGCTTTATGATCCATTATGTAACCAGAGCCTACATCCATAGAAATGTACTCCCCCTTTAGGCCTCTGAAAGAAATGAGAAAGAAAACAGCGTGTGCTTCTGTGCAACAGAAAATCTTTATTGGAGTGATATCCAAAAGATCCAGACTTCTGTGCCCGTCCTCCCCCAAACCTACTGCATATGTTGGTGGGACACGACAAGGAACAACAGCTCTGGCTCAGCAAGCCAAGGCAGGCAGCCCTGGGCCCTCCCATTGCACCCAAACTGCCTCCCTTTCCTATCAGAGGGTGCTGGGGCTTCCGAGACCTGCTCATGGGACACAACGCAAAACCCAGGTCACACCGTGAGCGACGTCTGCACGTGGGCAGAGGGCTGAGCTCAGGGGACTGGGTTGGTTTTTGGTGCCTTTGGGGACCTGGTGAGAAGGGCAAGAATGTATGGTGGCAGCAGTCTGAATGGCACAGCAAGTGAAGTTGGGGAGCATCTTCCAAGCAGGAGACTGTGGAAGGTGAGGCATGGAAAGGAGCAGCAGAGGTGGCAGGGAGCTTCCTGCACCTATCATGGTGCCTCTTAGACTTGGCTGTGGTGCAGTCACAGAGGGTGGCATCTAAGTTAGCAACAAGATGAGAGAACAGAACAAACTCTTAACACATTAACACCCAGCACGCAGTTTGGGGAAGGACCCATCGTCTTCTTCAAGTCCTAGCAAGCCTTCAGATGCAGTATTTCCAAAAGCAGGCTGGAGAGGGATACAAGAGAAGAGTTTTAGCATCCAAGAGACTTTTTTTTCCAACTTCCCATAGTTTCCCTGGAGTTGGTTTCAAAAGCCCAATTTCCTGAGAGAGTTGGAGTGTTAAGAGTTTGTATAACACTTTTAGACAGTGATCCTTTTGGTTTCTTAAAGTAAAATGAAGGGTTCATGATTTATAATGCTTTGCTCTTCCTTTTGCTCTATTTCATTAATGTCAGGAATCAGCTTTTTCTTTCTTGTCTACTGATCATCAGTTCTGCAGCCTCTGAGTTGTGCGCAGGGCTTCTCACCCATGGCTGATGGGAAAAGCAGGATACTGACCTGGAAACACCTGATCCAGACACTACAATTACTTTTAGAAGCTCAATCACTATAGCATTCTGCTTCCAGCTGTCTTCCAAACAACACTTACCAGTGAGGGATCTTATAAGAAGAAAAATTAGGGAATTATGTGGATTTTGGTGTTGGAAAAAGTAGCTGTGTCACCAGTCTGCCTGGTTCTTTGAACCCTGTACAGGTGTCAAGCGTGAGAAAGAATTTCAACTTGTTTTTTGTGGGAGAAAAGTTCTACTGAATCAGCAGCGCTCAGGCTGAGACACAGCTCTTCCCAAAATGGATGAACAAGACAAAGGCTCTCTGCTCTGTTTTCTGGCAGAATCTGATTTAAACCTGGCTGAGAGAAGCAGTTTTTATGTACAGTTGATTCTTCCAGACTGGTGGGAGCATGAATGAGATAAGCCAAATTAATGACAGTCTCCAGGGTTGCTTACAAATTACAGATTGTCTAAGCATCACCTAAGCACATAAGCCAGCCTTGCACGGAGGGGGATGTTCCTTTGCCTGTCTGGCAGATTGTCAGCCTGAATGAGCACAGAGCATGTGGGGTAAGGGCAAAAGGAGCTTTTTTAGGGTGAGGGCAGATTTGCAACCAGTGATTACTGTTCTACACTGTCCCTGCTTTGCAAAGGAGTCCTCTGTTGCAAACATGAGCAGCGTGTCCTTGTGCTCTTGGGCAGCCTTGCAGGAGTGCAAAGCTCCCAGGATGTGCTGCAGAGAGCAGAGGGGCTGACTGGGGACACAGTAGCTCTTAGCTCCCTGCATTCCTGCTTGATTTCCACGTCCTTTTCTTTGCTGCTTTTCAGCAGCTCAAACAATTGCTGCTTTTTTCTCTGCAGGAAAGCAGTGACCTTGGTGGATGTGGACGCATGCAGGCCACATGCCTCATTATGCCTCCAGCACAAGCTTTGTGCCCTGCAGAGAATGAGGGGTGCTCTGTGGGGACATGTTCCTACTGAACTGCCCTCTGAATAGTTCCATAGTTATTCTCAGGCTGCTGCTCTAACTGCCTCTGGTGAGATCCTGAGTGCCAGTACACTCTATTCAGAGCGTGCTGGGGGCATGCTTATAGTCACTGTTCTGCTACAGATAGGAAATGCTGGAACAGGGAGCTGGATGGGATGGCTGCTGCCAGCCAGACCCATAGGCAGGCCTCTAACCCAACACTTACCACGTTTTTTGGGCTGGGATGCTGAGAGACTTTCCAAGGCATCGGCCACCTCTGACCCTTCCTCAGCTGAGAGCTGATCCTTAAACTTCAACAGCTGTTGAGAAACAGACACAGCAGTGAGCAACTGCTCTGACAGGAGGATGGGACCCAGCACAGCATGGTAGAGGCAGGCTGTAGGCAGCCCTGCAGGCAGCACCCATGGGAGCAGGACCATTCCAGGAGGATCTGCTCTTGGAGCACCTCCTCGTGTCCTCCTATCCACAGCTTTTGCTGACTTGCTTACTACGTGAAAGCCCGAAGTGTTTTGCCTCCACCTGCAGCTTCTCTTTTCTAGCAAACTGGGGAGGCTCAGGCCATGGGCTGGGTCTGCCTCGCTGGTAGGGAACCCAGAGAAGTGCCAGTCTGGGGAAGGCATGCAGGGGCCGTGTGTGCTGGAGCCTAAAATGGATAGAGGAAGCTGATGCAATGCACAGGTAGACACCAAGACTTGCCCTTCTCCTTCTGTCTTCCATAGAGATTTCTTTTAGCATCTGGTTTTTCTTTTTTTCTTTTTTTCCAGCTTAGCTAGAGTATTATTCATGCAACAGTAAACATGTATATGTCTGCGCATTTGCTTCTCTCACCTGTTCAAAGTCGTCAAATTTCTTTGCCAGCTCCCAGTCTGCAAAGAAAGAGAGTCACATTGGTAATTCCTAAAGCTCAGATCTGAAGCAGTTTCTTCATGTATGGTGGTGATGGGTTGATTGTTGGACTAGATGATCTTAGCAGTCTTTTCCAGCCTTATTGATTCTATGATTTCTCCTGTCTATAGGTTGACAAAGAAAGACCCATTTACCCTTTAATTCCTGTCCAGCCTCTGCTGTGCCCTTCTCTGCTCAGCATCTGGATGCCTGGTATCATCTTCATGGATCATCGGGCGCTGCACCAGGCTGTCTAAAGCCTGTGCACACAGATGGGCAAAAGGCCATGAGATGTTAGGGAGAGTCAGGTTCTGTGGACAGAATCTGAGGCTCCAGCTGAACTGGGTTAGCAATAGGAAAGCTGCAGGAGAGGTTGTGGGTTTCCCATCTCACTCCTCTTGAAGGGTGAAGGATGCAATTCCAGGGCCAAACTGAGGTTAAAAGCAGTTAATGATTTTGAATTAGATAGCTGAAACAGTTTTGAAAGTGAACACAAAGCCATCAGCTGCTTTGCAGTGCCAGTTTGTGAAAATATGCGCTAAAATAAGCAGAAGAGACAGGAAATTGCTCAAGAATGTCTCTGTTCAGCCCAAGAGCCAAACACCAGCCCTGGGCTGTCTGTGCTATCTGCTCCTGACGGGGCAGTGGGTGTTGGTCTGCATCTCCTGGGGGATTTAGGAGCTCATTCCCCTGACCTCAGATAAGGCTTTAGCACACGTTGCCAGACTCAGGCTTTTTTTTAACGTTTGAAACTAAGGAGAAAGGTGCCAAAAAAAGAGCTGCCTCCGTTCTCAGTTTCTCCTCCAAGAAAGCAGCAGTTTAGTTGAAAACTACTGAATATTTTCTGATAGATATAAAACAGAAAAATCAGCAGTTCTTAAGTAAACCCATCACACCAGAGTGCTATGGCTATGGGCAGGCAGCGGGGCTCGGCTCCTTCCCTTGCCTTGCCAGCAACATCCGCAGGCAGATTCCTCTAAAATGTGTCTTTATGCATCCATAAGTGAAAAGTGCCCCTTAAGAGCTTATTGTTATAATTGATTTTATTATTATCATTTTACACATTTTTGCCTCGTTCAGAATTTCAAGTGCTGATTTTGGCTCAACTTTCCACAAAGAGTAAGCTTGGCCAATGGCTGCTATGAATAGAAAATGAGCAGCGGTCGAAATTTGGAACGGATTATCTCAAGCAGAGGGAAAGAAGTTAATTTATGGAGGATGCTTTGAGAAACTGCCTGCTGTAAATCCTCTGTCTGTGCTCAGCTCAGAGATTCATTATATTCAATTGTCTGGCATAAAACGCAGCCTTTCCTCCAGGAGTAATAAGTGCAATAATCCATAAAGCAATCATAAAAATGTTATTTTTTGAATGCGTCCCCTTTGCAAGAAGAATGCCTTTGTTAGTGTAAGGACTTGATTTATTTGTATTTATCTATTTGTCCCTGGATTGTTTAACTACTGCCTCACTGCATTAACAAGGGGCCGGGGAGCAGCACTGAGTGATTTTGATTAATGGATTTCCATGGCAAAAATGTTTCTGAGCTTCATTCTCTGCTGTTGTTGCAGAGAAAATCAGCTTCCTGCCCTGAAACCACCACATGTGGCCCAGCCCCTTCCCACACTGCAGTGGCCATGGGAAGTTCTGACCTCGATAATGGTGTTTGCAATTGCTGTCTGTAGTGTCATGGAATGCCCAAGTTTCTCTTTAGAGAGCCTGAGTTTGGAGCCTGTCCCAACACACAGGATGGTCTTAAATTTGGTGTCTGTACATATAACACAGAGAAAAATCTTGACCTCCTCTCTGCAAAAAATCAGAGTTGATTCCTTACATCCAAAGCATTCATACAGATACAGCTGCAAGAAGCTTGATCTCCCATCCCCTTTGCTTACCAAAATTTCCTGGAGTCCTCCATGCAAACTTCTTATTAAGCAGAGGAAGCAATGTGTCCTTGTGATTTGTGTCTTCTCTCTCCGGAAGCACTCGGTTATCTGCAGCACATAAAACATGCCATTCTCAGTCTCTGGTGCCAAAACGGATGGACCATCCATCCCCCAACATTAAGACAAAAATTAAGACTAAGACCTCTTCTGCAAGCACTCCCCTCATTGCCCCATCACCCCATCCATCTCCCCAGGGCTGGTGGAGGTGAGAGATATTCCTTACGTGTGCATGTAGCTGAAGAGCCCTGCAGCATTCCATCTAGCCCTGTGCTCACCCAGCACTGGGGCTGGGCTCTCTGGCTGCCTGTGGTATTAAAGGATTCATTTTGCTCATAGGCAAAGTGTGGAGGAGTTTAAAGCGAGCCTCTTTTTCTCCAAGGAATCCTCTTAACGGTTGCTGTCAGCCATGCCTAATTTCCTTCCCTGTTTTCCAGGAAAAGTCCTCCCCAAACTTCTTTTCTGTAGCAATTTGGGCTTCTGTATGAGGCCCATTTTAGGAGCTTTCTCAGTGGTTTTTCTCTAGTGGTTGTGGCTCTACCCTCAAATGAGTGGTTGTGAAGGTTAGGGCTTCAGCAGCATCTGATGGACGCAAGGATCGGATGACCAGACCGGACAAGGCTCTGGGATGCCTTCAGCTCTGCCAAACAGATTTCTAGGAGCATCTGGAACTTGCGTGGTGCATTCATTTTTGGGAGGAGCATAAAATCATAGAGTGGCCATTCCCCAAAATTTTTTGTCTAATTCCCACACCCAGACCTTGCCAAACCCTAGAATATGCCCACAGAATCCACATAAAATGCAAAGAAATGATGCAGAAAGACATTTTTTCTCTTCTCCTGGGATCTTCAGGACATTACCTCAATCCCTTCAAGGAGATTAGAAGGGAGCAATGGGTCTCAGATAGATAGCCATCAGACCTACATAGCTGTGATGAGATGAATGCAAATAATTTTGATACAGACAGAACAAAGCACTGTGGCAGATGAGTCCCCGCGATGTTTAAGAGTGTGTGGGAATGCACCCCAAGGTGATGCTTCCCATATATGTGGCCAGGTTTGCCCCCACCTAATGGTGCAGCTGAAGCCGAGTGTGGTTTGAGGAAACAAACCCGAGGAGCTGAGCAGGGCTGTGCACTCTGTAAGACCTGCAGTTTGTGTGCTATAAACCTAAGCCTGAAAGACAGTTACGATCTTCAAAGAGCCGCTTTTAGTCATCTGAGGGATTTGATACAGGAAAAAAAAAAAATATATATATATATATATATATATATATAAACACTCTAGTAAAAACTAAACAGAAGCTGTATTTAGAGAAGGTGGCCGCAGGAATGTTTTGGTTGTCATTACAAAAATAAATAGGTGATATAAGAGGAAAAATCATTTGAAAAGCAACGTTGTTTTCTAGCCTATATTTAGCTGCTTTAATTTTTTTCCTGCTGCCAAGTCTCTCTAAGAAAGAAGATTAATGATTGACATTTTCCTGTGGAATAAGTTCAAGCTAAGATTAATTTAAATTACGGGAGAAGAACATATAAACAGAAGTTTCATGATTAAAAAAAGTTCAGCAGCACCCTACTCCTGACATTTAGGAGCTGTCACATCTCATATGGTACATCCTTGGATTGCTACTCTCTGGTATTTTAATATATATACTTGGAAATTTTCTTTCAGGAAGAAAGAAGAAAATACCACTACCAGATTTCACCAGATCTGGTATTTTCATTGTTTAGCAGTGTAATATATGAATGTGTGAACAGCAGCAGACCAGAAGTATGTGCTGATATGATCAAGTCCCTGAGTAGTACCCATGTTGATTGATTATTTAGTATAGCTCAAGGTTGCTTTAATTTTCTTGCACGGATAAGCGAGTGTTGCATGGCCATGACAAGCAGCAAAGCAAAGCAAAAAGATAAAGACCTACCTGTGTCATCTAGCCTGTATTCCAGCTTACCTAGTAGGAAAAAAGGCACTCCATGTGTAGATGGGACATACACAGTCATGGTCAAGATGGCTAGCATTCCGAGGGACAGCTGGATGGACCGCATCTTCTCCACGTACCCACCACCCAAAAGCATTCTTTCTTCAAGCACGGTGGAGGACTTCAATGCAACCCAGTGCCAGATGAGCTCACTTTTAAGAGGCAGTGGATGTGCCGTGATTGCAAATGGCCTTTGGAGGAGGGGAGAAAAATATCTCTTGAGATATAATTCAACCTGTCAATATGATTCACTCCTTTGGGAGTGGACAGAACAACCCAGTAACAGACGTCAGATGGAACCTGTTCAATATATCTCATATCAGATTGATCTAATGAATTTTGATGTTCCCACAGGCATGCCCTGTCCATGCACATTGATATACATTCCATATGTACATCCATACGTACATACATTAAGAATATTCTTTCGTGGCTGTAGCTTTAATGGAGTTCAGGCATGAGGACTTCCACATTAGCAGGGAAGATCTGTCTAACATACAAGTTGCCGTATGTCACCAGTTTGGACAGAATCAGGTTAATGGGTTTTTGTAATTTATCATCGCACTTCTTACTGCCTGTATTAATTAATGTGAGATATAATGAGTGCTGAAATGCTGGGAAACAGAGGGGGAGAGCTCTTTCCATTTAAGTGATTGGAAGATATTGAGTGTGTCTCGCTCACAGTGACTTATGGCTTTGTCAACGGGAAAGGCATCACATCCTATTTTGGGATTGTGTCTGAGTGGGGGAGTGCAAATTTGGCAGCAGACATGGAATACATCAAGGATGGGCAACTGTCTTCTTTTTTCTGGGGAAAAGAAGTGGAAGGCCAGATGCCAGTTCTGTCCGCACAGCTATGTTTTATTAGTGTAGAGCAGAGTATTGAGGCACATTGCACACATCCCATGTCTTCTCAGGACATCACCGTATGTTGGCTTGGCTTCTCTCTGTTGCTTGTCCATCACAATTGAGCAGGGACCTGCTACTAGTTCTCTATTACAACCTTGACAAGAAAAATGCTATCACAGTAACAGCACTAGCCTTTCTTCTGCACTTCTGCTCCTTCTGCCAATCATCATCTGCAGAACTGAATCATTTGTACTATACTTTGGCCAAGCTCTGACTTGTACATGCACTCCCAGTGACTCATCTCTTGTGCTTTTTGGACACCACATCATGCCAGATCACCCAGTACAGCTTCATCTGATGGTACCTACACTTTGTCTTAAGTAAAAAATAATGCCTTTTCCTTGTTTGGGCTTTTGGCTTCTGATCCCTAACTTTCCCTTAAACTTGTTGTGCAGCTTGGATGGTTATAGGATGACTTGCCCTTTAATATTCCTTTTAATATTTATTTTTTACTAAGAAATGAGGAGTCAAAGCTCAGATTTTTTGCAAGTGCCTATGAAGCTGAATGTGATCCTTCCATTAAAAAATGCTTTTCTACTGAGGAAATGGTCCCATTTTCTTTTTTTTTTTTTTCTACAGAGACAAGTAAAACCATCTTGTCTTTCCTCTCAGTCTTGTGAACCAACATTGTATCGGTTGAAGTACTACTCTTCCTTCTTCATAAAGTTCTCTTTGCACTGAAGGATGCCCACCTCCTACAGGGAGCACATTTCCAGACACCACTCTCCCTAAGCTATCCATGGCAAACTGGTTGGTGGTGGGCAGCCCCCAAGGAGCAGAAGCCATAACCTGGTGAGGACCACCTTGCATGGGAGTGCAAGGTGGGATGTGCTAGTTTTGACTCAAAACCATATTATTAAGGAAAGTTAAGTGTGGTTTTGCTTCATACTAAACGGTGTCCACATTTCTACCAGTCTGTGTTGAGACTGGCTGTGACATTGATTTTGCCTTGATATACTGGTGGATTTCTCCATCACACCTAAGCCTTGGCAGAATCCACATATCTCTGGTTGGTTTTTTTCCTACTTTCCTTTATCATGGTCTATTGACAGGATCTTTCAGGAAGTTGGAGTTGGAAGAGCTCTGGGATTTTCTTTCACTGTAGAGAAACTTCAGTTCTGGGTCACTGCAACTGTTCAGACCCCAAAGCAACTTGCAAATACAGCGTGCCAGTCCTTGCAAGAGAGTGCTGTGGTGAAAGTAGTGGACTGTCATTCTCCATTTACACAACAAGAGGGGTGAGGGGCGGATGCTCTCAAAGAGTGGGTGGAAAGATGCCTGACAGCCACTGCCAGACACTAGTGACTTTTTGCATTTGTTGCAGTTGTGGGAGGATTGACTTGAGGGATTAGGTTTAATTAACACTCTCACCCAGTTAATATCTTTGCTTTTAGCCCATTTGTCTGAGTACTGAAAGTATTATTCCATTTAATTGTTCTTATATATTTTATTCCCAGTAGAAAAACAACACAGTCTCCATATTCTCTCAATTACTTCACTCAGCAGTAACATCTACTACATCCACTGAGCTGTCTACAGCTCAAACACATCAACAGCCCAAAGATGGGAGCTCTGTCCCTAACTTCCACGGTCTTAATTTATCTGAATCTCTTCACATAGAAGCTTCTCTTTACAGAAAGCTGTGCAATTGTCAGGTAATTTAATACAATCAATTTGGAAAATTGACCAGAGAAAAACCAACCAGCCCAGAGGATAGGGATGGAAAGACCTTGCCCAAGCAGGTTGGATGCTGATAAGCTCAGCTGTACCAGCTCTGCATGCTAGAGATAAGGCATTAATAGACTTCAATGGGCTTGATTAGCACCAGCTGTGGCCTACACCTGCCCTCTCTTCCCACAGGCTGAGGAACTCTGTTTAAGTCTAGCCTTGGGCCCCTGATCCTCTCTGTTTTCCTGGGTGAGGAATGCTGGTTAGTTATATCCTCGGCCATAGCTCCTATTGATCTGGTTGTTAAACTAGAAGCTGAGTTTCTAGCTTAACCTCAGACCTGTTCTGTCAGTATGGATGTGTTTGTTGCTCACTGGGTTGTGTTTGACCCTCATTGTCATCACTGGACCTGATTCTGACTGGTGGATTGAATTCTAGCTTGACCTTGAACCTTCCTCCCCCCCCACAGTCTTCCTTAGTGATCCAGGCTCTCGGTTGATCTGAATGCTCCCTGACACTATTTCCTCAATATGCTCAGCCTTCTTCTGTGCATGCTCTTTTCTCTGCCAGGCAGGTCAGCCTGACTTGGAGCAGTAAAAGCCTTTAGGTATTCTGTATGAAATTCCAATTTCTCTAAAGTCACTTTCAGCTTTGTTGCTAACTTTAATTGGTCTCTCTAGAACAGATGGAGTCTCCAAATAGCCTAGTTTAACCCCAAAGTAGTAATATGTCTTATTTCAGAGTAATTGTCAGACAATAGGAGTTGAGGAGGTTTCTTGGGCCACTTGCAAGATGCAGGAGGCAGTGTTGAGCTACTGAAAGCAGGAGAACTTGAACCTTGCTTGGAGTGGCATGTTTCCAGGACACTTTGTGCGCTGCACATTTGGCATTTGAAGAGGGGGAGGATTTCTTGTCTTTTCCAGCACTTCTTGAGAGCGTATGAAAACTTTACATGCGTTGTGTATTTCAGGTAAGCTTCAGCAGCATTCATTTGCTGTGGTCTTTCTGTCTCTTCCTAAACTTTGTTTGCTTGGTCACAAAGCAACCAGCCTGCTGTGGCAGGACACAGGAGAAAAGAGCCCTTACTTAAGGTTGGGAGGCAGGGTATATTAACTGTCCTGCAGTCTGTGCACCATGAAGGGGACTTGGCTGAAAACATGTGCTCTCAGCTAGTGGAGATGGGATTTTTTTTATCCTGCCCCATATGTAGGAGGAGACTTGTGTCTGACTGCTTCCTTGCTTAGAGTGTTTCTAAGGCTATGATAGGCATAGGAAAGAGGAGGGGACAAACTGTAGAGAGGAAAGCGGGCAGGATGCTAAAGAGACCATGAAAAGCAGGGAGGAGCTAGGAGCCTTTCAGCATGAGGGGGGAGAAGCTGTGCTTCACCTGATAGGAATCAAAGTGGAAAGCACTGAAAGCCACCCTGTCCTCTGTGTCCTTCACATATTTGTTCTTTAAATTCTCCTCTGCCTATGTCATTTCTGGGGTGAACCAGAAAACAAAATCTGCTCTGGTCCTGTTATATAAAGCACCACTGGAAGGCGCTCGGCTATTCTGCTGTGGGCTGGTGCAAAGTCCCCAACAGAACAGCACAGCTTCACTGCAGAAAGGAATTAAAATAATGTGCAGCTCCCTGAAAGGAGGGAGTACATAACAGGGAGGGAGATGTAGTTATAAAATGAGATTCTCTGTTCCTCAGGGGACTGTTAAAACCAGTCAATATTTATGAAGCTTTTAGTCTGACTCATGCAATTTGTTCCCCTTTCTACGTGCCTGTCTTTGGGACTCAGCTGTTGCTTGGCCTGTTACTGCCATAAAATTAGATGCTATAGTTTAACTGTCTCCTTGCGTAGTGAAGGAGGAGGGAAAGGTCCCAAGCAAGGCATAAAATGGCTTCGCTTGTCACCTCCCTGCAGCCAGCAGAGGGAGGGCACAGAGGGAAGCATCATTAGCTCCTATCAGGTGGGGATCACACTAAAGGCAAGCAGCACCTCGTGGTTAAGGCAGAGGAGAATACAGAGCACAGCTGGGCTGCCTGTCTGGCTGGCTTTCACATCCATTCGTAGGGCTGTCAGGAGATGATTTGGCTTCTTAGAGAAGAAGTTACCTCCAAAGTGTTCTCCTGGAGTGAGGGGTGAAAAAGCAGTGCAGGAATGCAAAAGCATGGGAGAAAAGCAGGGAATGGGGGAGTCGTGCCATTTGCACATCTGCTTCTTAATCCTGAGCTGGAATACCTTCTCCAGACCAGATCCCTCCTGACAGGTGGTTATTTGGCTGAGCCAGGACAGCATGCTGAAGTAGCATAATTTGGGATGAACTGGTTAAACCACCAGATTTACCCTAAGCTTGATCCTTCTCTGATCTGATCTACCTTCTGCAGGCCATCCTGGATGATGTATGAGCTGTGCCTCAGAACTCAGCAAGGACACAAAGTGCCAAGTGAATGATGCTGTGGGGTGCCTTTACAAGAATAGTATTACCCTAAAGAAGCTTGTCATCTTTGGCTACAGGAGGAAGATTTAGAGTGGTT